CTCTGCAAAGGTTAATAAAAATTTGAACCTGGGAGTTCTGCTTTATATACGTGGAGCGCTATTAAGACAAGCTATCACTTTACTCGTTTGCTGTATTGTACCTGTGTTCTCACTGTAGGACATGTGCTAGGACTACAGAACACCCCCCTCATGGTCAAACTATTAGAAGCGATGTTCAAAATCTGAAGCGTCTCTTATTGAGCTGTTTATTCCCACCGAAGTCTAGCAGTCCTTTGGCAGAGATGCTATTGACATTTAATGGTATAAAGATGACCACTAGAGGGAGCCTGTACATATCTCTATATGAAATACAAATGATGGGACAGAAAGCAAGCGAGAATGAGAAAGCTGCATCAGAGATTACAATTATTTTCGGGTCAATGTAGTTACTGAGAACACACACCGCTGGATATGTTTACTTAGAGAACGAGCCACAACCGTGACTCACCTTGCACAGCCAGACCAGCCAGCTGAATGGCCTGCTCCAGAGCACAGGGGATCTTCCCCTCCAAGATATCCTTCTTCAGCTGCAGGTAATACTGGTATCTGCCGGGAACAGAAGAACACGTGAAGGATACAATGTATCACACAGAATGTTTCCAGAACAGAATCAAGAAATAGGATCAAATCTATTAACACGGAACTATGGGGGCCGCTGACTGAATGTTCGGGGGTTCAGGTCATCCTCATCCTTCCCGACACAAAGCCCTACGGCCTCCCCGCACTTCCATCAACCGAGACGCACGGATATTCTTATATTGAACCGAGAAGAAGAACATTTTCATTGTAAGTCTGGACACGAGAAGAGTCTGGCTGACTGAAAACATTTATCTGACCTTTAACCTCAAGCGCATGTTCCAGAGACATCTGATGTGCTCTGGTTTCAGCGCGCCAGACACAACAGAAACTGCAGAGGTCGGATCAGAACACAAATACCGGGCTGGAGGAATCCCAGCTGACGCACAACATGCGATTCCTGGCAGCTAGGCAACGCCAGGACCCAAACAAGAGAAATATTCGGATGGAGCCGCGTGGACTTTGAAAACAGTATTTTGACAGTATTTTTGAAAAAGTGATTCCTGGATTCTTCTTGCATTAAACTTTAATGATTTTCAGCCAATTTTATTTGTGTTTTTTTTTACAATTTTAATACACACACGAAAGTCTTTATAGAATAAGGTGAAAAGGATGGAGCCATTCATGATAGTATAAACTAAGCTTCAGCTACTGAGCTCTGTAAACACCTCTTTTTTATTATTGAAGAGTAAAGCAGCTAAGGGGGGCGGGGGGTTGTGAATGGTTTTTAAAACAGAAATAAAGAAAAAAAAGTAAAATCAGAAAAATATTAGTTAAAGGAGAACTATGAGGGGGGGG